CCTCCCCGCCCACCCCCCCGTATTCAGATGCTAAGTATGATAATTCGAACATTGGGGATTTTGTTATCTCTGATGACCCTTACTTCGTAGTATGTTTTACATTACTGCCTCGTTAAAAACCTTGACAGAAAAACTCAATTAGGACAAAAACTGGACGAAGGAAAAAAGAATGCAACACATACTTTCAAAATCAGCAAGGATCTTCAACAATAATACCTTTTGAGGTGAGTCACGTTCCAATTGCTTGGCAATTTAACTCTATCTGGATTTTTCAATCGATACGAACCTTTACCGATTATAGCAAAAATTCGATAAGGTCCTTTCCACGTTGGTGCCAGCTTCCCAGCGCTAACCTCTCGAGTACTTTGAGTTACCTTTCTCAAAAATAAATCTCCGACTTTGAAATATCGAAGATTTGCTTTGCGGTTGTAATATCTTTTCATTCTTTGCTTTTGTGCCACCATCCTCACATACACTAGATTTTGATGTTCTTTAAGCAAATCTAATTTAATCAGCAGTGCTTCATTATTTGCCTCTTTGTTTGCTAGGGAATACCTTATGGTCTTTTCCCAATATCCATCGGGATCAGAGCTTCCGCACTGTACACAATTGAAAATGGTGTTTCACCCGTGCTCGATTTCATCGTTGTTCGATATGCCCACAATACACCCGATAGATCATCTGGCCAATTCCCTTTAGCATCTTCTAACTTCTTTTTCAGGTTTTGAATTATTATCTTGTTGGTAGACTCTGATTTTTCATTAGCACTTGGATGGTACGGTGAAAGACGTAATCTGTTTGATATTTAGTCCCTCCAGAACTTTGTAACCTTGGAACTTATAAATTGCGGCCCAGACACAAGCAATTTCTTTTGGCAATCCTAACCGACATATGATGTGATTCCATATGAAATCCATCACTTCTCGTTCTCCAAACTTTTTGTTGGCACCTGATTCAACCCATTTAGTGAAATAGTTAGTTAAAACCAAAAGAAATCCCGGGTCCTTATGGTAAGGGACCAACTATGTCTATTTCTCATTTCATAAATGGCCATAGTGATATCACCGAATGCAAAAGTTCCGCTGGTTGATTCACTAACTATGCATGAGGTTGGAATTTATCACACTTTTGTACGAATGACTTTGAGTCTTGCTCCATCAGGGGCCAATAGTAGCCATCCCATATTAGTTTGAGAACCAACAAGTCTGCACCGGAGTGGTTCCCGCATACTCCTTCGTGAACTTCCCTCATCACGTAATCAGCCTCTAATGTTCCTAAACACCGAGCCAATGGACCTTGAAATGATCTTCTGTATGGTTAACTGTCAACAAGACAATAACGAGCTGCTTTAGTTCGTAGTGCCTGGGATATTTTTGGATCTTCAGGCAATTTTCCATCACGTAAATACTCTATAAACTCATTTTGAGTTAACTTCACAATATTCATCCACATCCAAAACTGAATACTGCAATTGAACAACCGCACTGCAATTAGTTATGTAAGCATGTAATTTTGACTCGCGCATTTTTAAAATTAGTGTAATATTCCTAGTATTTTTGAAAGTATTTATTCGAATTATTCTAATGAGATTATAGCTCTTACTTTTAATTTTAGATTATAAATTTGAAAAATACAAAAATAGTTTCATTATCTATTTTTTTTATCTTTGAATTAAGGCCATTAGTATTTTACAGTATATATTTTCACCTTTTTTAAACTATGATGTTAACTTATTGTTCTATACATTCATTTTTTTATATAATCTTGAAAATACCAAAAATAGCTTCATGTCATAATACAGTTTGTTTTAGGAATAGTTTCACAATTTCAGAGCATATTATTATAGAAAAAGAAATTAATATTTTTAGCCTTGTTGAATTAAAAGGCCACTTTTATGACCCCAAACCGGACCGACCCGCCCCAATACCCATCAAACCCGCCCCATTTCCCTTTATTTAATATCAACCTTCCATTCCTTTAAGATCTAACAGCCGTCAATCCTCCCCATCCCCCATATAAAAACCCATTAAACTCTAAACCCTAACCCTAACACCCCTAAACCAAACCGCCGCTTGGCCGCCGCCCAAAACCCGCCGGAAAAGTCAATTTCCCGGTGTCCACGTCACATGGTCCCCTCATGGTCCCCCGATCATTAGTATCCGATTTTAACGCGTTTTCTCTTCATCTTCTTTTTCGAGTTTATCTTTTTTTAGGCAAGAACGGAAAAATGGGAGGCGTAGGATCGAGTTACACTCGATCTACTCCCTCCATCTGTCCTTTATTGCCATCAAAAGGGATAAAATTCAAATTCTTTGGGTTTCTCGGATTTTTGGAGAAAATTAGTAAGTAAGAAGAAGTTTCGAGAATCCCTACATATAGAGGATTTTTCGGATAGACAGAGGAGGGGAAGGAAAAATTAGGGTTTGGTTTTGGAGGTTTTGGATTTTTGCTTTCTTAATTTTTTTCGTTTGAGATTCCAGAAAAAAGATTAAAAAAATGCAGTTCTTTCTTGTTCTTAATTTTACTTCAAAATAAGAAAATTCAAAAATAAAAAAATCAGTTGGTTCGGTTTCATTTTATATTTCAAAGTTGAAATACACAAGGAAATTGAGCATGTTCGTTGGTTTTGATTACCAATATGGAGATTGCTTGAGGTGTCCGAGTTAGAGTTTCAAGCTGTCGGGCTCGGGGTTCGGTTCGTGGTTTCAATCGATTTTCATTCCTACTTCGAGTTCGATTCTAGTTGCGGTTTATTAACTTCTTTGTAATTGCAGGAATTTTCGTTAATCAAAGGCAAATTTCAGGTCCGTTCCTTCTCTTCTTACTTTTGTTTTGGTTGGATCCAAATATGATTTGAGCCATAGTTAAAGGGGATTGGGGAATTGATAGTTTATTTAGCTTTCAATTGAGTGTTAATAGAAATCAGTCTACCCGAGGTTTATGAGAACCATTTTGAGTAGTTTTCCTTTACATCTTCGTTTGTAGATCTCTTAAGTGCTTAAAGTATTATGGTAAATCTGTTGGAGTATTATTGCGAATGAATCACGTTGAGATTATTTTCTTTTCTTTTTTCTTTTGAAACCGTCTAATTAAAATCTAGTATTTGATATGTTGACTTGGCAAAATGTTTAGTCTTTTCTTGTTGGTTTTCTTTTGTTTCAACGTGAATTTCACTTAAGACCTCGCACCTCAAGCACCTACTAGAAAACTATTTTGCTCACGATGCAAGGTTATTACTCTGACAACTATTTTGAGTCATACTTCTTAGAAGGGTTTGAAAACTAATGTATTTTCTTCTTATATACTGCTTCTGTCTGGACATTCAAAATGATTCTGTTGATATGCATGTTGACTAGCATTTAGCTTCATCTAAAAATAAACTTCCATTCCATGTTTTTGAGTTAGCACCCCTGATGCATCGGTTAAAGTTTCATTAGTTTTAAATAGTGTTTGTTTCACTTTCATTCCGTTGGCAAGTTAGTTGTTCACTTTGGTCAATTTACAAGTTTGTTATGTTTTGTTAAAGGCACTAGACAATCAACATATTTCCATGTGAACAATAGCTTAGGATTCGGCCAGTTGCTTGCCTTTCTTAGATCGGCATGGGTTTAATGGGACCTTAGGCGGCTCTTATCATGTTTTGATCAACCAAACGTTTTCTTTGCTGCTTCACATTCTTCTTTCCCTGTGTGATCTGGAAATTTATTTCTCCCTTGTTTGTGTGGATATTTGATTTGGATGGCAATTAAAATGTGTCGTGGAGTTGGGATTTTAAAGAAAACAGAATTAAAAATTTGAGAATTACATAGTCACTGTTTTATTGTAATAATCGCTAGGAGCATGCTTAGGCCGATCACACTCGGGTAGGCAAACTTTAGAATTTTCCTTTTCTTTTCTTTTATAAAAGGTGATAGGTCGCCTCCTTAGTTGAATTTATCCGGGATATGCCCTGCAAGATTTGTATATATTTCTATCCGAGGTATGCCCCGAAGTATTTGTATTTGGAGGCTGAAAGTAGAACTTGTAGTATTTTTATTTTCATTTTCATTTTTCATTTTTCTTTTATTATCCAGGGACAACCTCGAGCCTCTTGTGTGTTTATTTTTCTTTTCAGTGTTTATTTTTGCCTCAATTAGAAGCCAACTAGATCGAGTACGCAACCGTGACTTTCACGGGACTCGGGGAATGCCTAACACCTTCTCCCCGAGTCAAATGAACCCCCTTACCTAGAACTCTGGTGCCGACTTAGTTTTGGAGTCCAAAGTATTTTAAAAGGAAAAATCATTTTTAAACGGTGACCTGACACACCGAAACCAAATATCAGGTGGCGACTCTGGAAAAAAAAATCCTTTGAAACACAATTTTTTTTTGTCACTTTTCATAATTGAAACCCTTTTTGAACTTCAAAATCACTTTATTTATTTTAAAGAGGGTTAGTGAGGTTGAAAAAAAGGGGTGTGACAAGTTCCTTTCATTTCTATGGATGACCCAAAATTGGCCAATGTATCTGCCTCCACGTTCTCTTCCCTTGAGTGTGTATAATCGACAATTCCTTGAACTAGGAAAGCAAGACTTGAACCATACTCAAGTATTATTGCATGCGTTCCTCCTTTGTCTCGAAAATTCCATACACCTGGTTCACTACCAGCTTGGAGTCGCACTTTATCTCGTCACCTCAGAGCCTAGTCCCCGAGCTAATTCAAGTCCTACAACCAAAGCCTCATACTCGGCTTTATTGTTAGTTAATAGCACATTTCTAATGGCCTGTCTCCAGATTTCTCCCGAAGGAGTTATTAAAACTATCCCGAGATCGGACCCTTTTACGTTGGAAGCTCCATCTGTAAACAAGGTTCAAATACCTGATACCGTCTCCGATACCAACATTGCTTCTTTAGCAGCTAAAGGCATTAATCCGGGACTAAAATCAGCCACGAAGTCGGCCAAAACTTGTGATTTGATCGCAGACCTAGGCTTGTATTCAATGTCGAATTCACTAACTTTGACTGCCCATTTAGCCGAACGATAATTGAGGAAGGACATACCTCAAGGGAAAGGTTGTCACAACGGCTATAAGATGACATTGAAAATAAGTCCTAAGCTTTTGAGAGGTGACTGCGAGAGCTAGGGCCAATTTTTAAAGGTACGGATAACGTGTCTCCACTCTTGATAAAACTTTACTAACATAATAAACAGGAAATTGCGAACCTTCATCCTCGGACCAGAACAAAGCTTACCGCTACTTTCGAAACTGCCAGATAGACTAATAGTTGCTCTCCTTCCTTCGATTTTGCAAGCAAATGAGGACTAGACAGGTACCTTTTTAGGTCTTTTAACGCTTGATGGCATTCCGGAGTCCACACGAAATCATTCTTCTTTTTCCACGGTGAAAAGAAGTGATGTCATTTCTCTGAAGACCTCGAGACAAACCTGCTTAAGGCCACCATCCTACCGGTCAACCTCTGTACCTCGTTCGCACTTGTTAATTAGTCCAGGATATCCTCAACGGCTTTGATCTTATCGGGGTTTACTGCAATTCCTCTTTGAGAGACCAAAAACCCCAAAAAATTTTCGGAACCAACTCCGAAAGTGCATTTTTAGGATTGAGCTTCACGTTGTATTTTCAAAGGTCTCTTGTAGATGAGACAAATAATCACCGGCATTAAGAGACTCTTCTTTGACAAGCCTATTTCTGACCTCTACTATCGGTCGTTTCTTCTACCTTACCAGAGGGAAGTTAGGATTCAAACTCAGTTTGTGGACAACCACCTCTAGTGGAATACTTGTCATTTCTGAATGCGACCATGCAAAACAATCGACGTTAGCTTTTAAAATATCAATAATTTTTAACTTGAGTACGGGACTCAACCCTGTTCCCAAATGGAATTTCCTTTCTAAGAACTTCGTGAACAAAGCCACTTGCTCGGGCTCTTCTGCGATTGATTTGGTCGCATTCATTTCCTCCGGTACCTGAAAAGACCTCGGTACCTGATAAAAATCCGATAACTCATCTTCTCCATTATCTTCAATCAAGGTGGAAGAGGGAAGCGGCTCCTGTAATTGCTATTTGCTTGTTTCTTTTCCCTTGCTATTGGACAAGGTAACTGCGTTCATCTCTTTTGCAGCTGGTCGATCTGCTCTGATCTGCTTGACTCCCTCCGGTGTGGGAAGTTTCAGCAATTGATGATAAGTTGAAGGCACAACCTTCATTTTATGTATCCATGGCCTTCCAAGGATTACACTATATCCCATATCGCCATCTACCACTTCGAATAGAGTGGTCTTTATTACGCCTTTGGCATGTGTTGGAAGTTAGATCTCTCCCCGGGTCGTTACACTTGTTAGGTTGAACCTGGCAAGAAGTTTTGTTACTGAAACTATGTTTCCAATTAACTTTGCTTGCTCCAAATTCTCCATTGTATGATATTGGCTAAACTTCTTGGATTAATCAACATACACTTAATTTTGAAATCTAAAACATTAAGAGAAATTACCAAAGTATCGTTGTGCAGTCGAAAAAATCCGTCAGCATCCTCTTCTGTAAAGGTGATGTCATCCTCCGCATCTACTCGGATCCTCTTTCCATAAGTACCGATATCTTCATCTTCTTTGCTGTCGAAAATGTCACCCCGTTTACTTTGTCTCCTCCAAAGATCATGTTTATCGTCATGCGAGGTTACCCCGTAGCCGGTTTTGATGGTTATGTAACATCTCGATTTTTCCCATAGTTATTCTTGGCCCGATCACTTAAAAATTCTCTGAGGTGACCATTCTTCAACAATGTTGCCACCTCTTCACGAAGGTGCCGACAGTCCCCAGTCTTGTCACCATGTGTTCTGTGGAACTCACACCATAGATTAGGATCCCTTTGGTTAGGATATGATCGAATTGGTTTAGGGAACCAAGCCTCCTTTATGTTCCTCATAAAGTTCTACCAAGATGATGTTAAATTGTAATTAGATAATCGAGGATACGTTGAATCCCAAGACCCCGCTGTTTCTTTCTCCTGTCTGCTACTCCGACCACGATCCATTAACAGCCCTTTTGTAAAGGCCAAAAACGACCTCTGGAAGATCTCTGATCTGCATCAACATCAGCTTTAAACATTTCCTGATTCCAATATCGATTGCATCATTTGGAAGACATCTAGTAACCCAGTTTATCATCTTCCATTCTAATCTTTGACTCATAGCGATCGTGGACATCTGCCCATGTGGTTGCCTGAAATTCTAACAAGCTTTTCTTCAGTTTCCTAGGGGCATGGGAGCTCAGTGGGTTGAGACCCTTTGTAAATGCTTTAGCTGCCCGCTCATCCGGTACTGCCGGTAATAACATTCTTTCCTTCTGAAACCAGATTATGAATTCTCGCAATAGTTCGGATTTTCCTTGGGCTATTCTGAATATATCTGTCTTCCTTGCTTGGACCTTTCTTGCTCCAGCACGAGCCTTAATAAAGGAAACTGCAAGCATTTCAAAAGAATCAATGGAATGCTCAGGTAAAAAAGAATACCAAGTTAAAGCACCCTTCGTCGGGGTTTCACATAATTTCTTCAACAAGACAGATACACTCTCGTGTTGGGCCAAGTCATTTCCTTTCACAACAGTAGTTTAAGTCATGATATGCTCTAGGGGATCCGAAGTCCCATCATACTTCGAAATATCCGGCATCTTAAACCTTTTTAGAATCAACTCTGGGGCCGCACTTGGTTTAAAAGGAAATTGCGTATACTTTTTAGAATCCGGTCCTTTTAGCACAGGTGGCGCTCCCGGGATCTAATCCATCCAAGCATGGAATTCTTTAGCATTTTGGTCCATTTCTTCATTCATTTCCCCCATGAATCTCATGAGCTCAATTTTGAAAGGGTCATTTGCGTTGTTGTTGTTCCCAGATCCACTACTGGTACCTCCTGCCTCGTTAAAATTGAACTCCTCCCTTGGAGCGTCATTACCGATTCTTTGAACTGTTTGATTTGCAGGGACGTTGGGAGGAATCTGAGCTCCTCCATTAGAATTATTGGAAGCAAGTAATAGCGCATTCTTCAATTCTGTCCACCTGGTTTTGTCTTGAGAGATGATCCATAATTGCCCTTTATTACTCTCTCAAGATTTTGACTATTTCAACAACGTGTTCGTCATCCGTATCATCAGGAGTTAGACTCCTCACACGCCGAGAATTTTTCCCTTCGCGAATTGGAGTTGTTTTATCTTCTTCATTGCTGGTCTCGCTAGTTGAATCATCACGTTGGAACACATCCTCATATTCGTTGTGTGCTCCAACATTATAGGAATTATTTACATCATTAGCTGCCATATCTGATTATTTTCTTTTGCTAAGAAAGGAATCAAAATTTGTTATTAACAGATTAATGGATCAAAGCAATTACACAATTGTCTATGCCTAAGGGTGGGCGCCAAACTGTTTACCCGTAAAATGTACATTTGAATTTGTAACGTGATTCATAGACATGTGAATTAACTCAATTCAAAATATGAAATAAACAAGAATGAAATCAAGAACGTAAAAAGAACTTAAAGAAATCGTATATTGAGCTTCTCCAGGAGTAGTAATATGAATAATATTAAGAACAAAAACAAGCAAGAAATTTTATAGTATGAGAGCAAATTATGGCCTTTGAGTACAGATAATTTTTCGTGTCCTACAAGGGATACTAATTCGCATATTTATAGCTCTATTAAGGGAGACAAGATTCCAAATCAAGCTCCTCTTTAATTAGAATAAAACTACTATTAATGGTTGCATAACAGTTGGCTATAATTACAGAGATTCTTTGTAGCGGCTGCTCATTGAATGTTGTTTGATGTCTTATCTTCAACTCTTTCTTATCGGTTCCCATGCTTTCGAGATTTACACAGCACTGATCACACGCTTGTATTCGGTGCCAACTACTTGCTGACTCACATCTTACCTGCCTTCAATTCCACATGTCATCTCGTCATATGCCAAGTGTCACTAACTAATTTTATCCCATGCAATAGATATCCGTCGAAGTTTTAGATATAGTGGAAAAAAGGTGTTGCGATAATGATATTCCGCAAAGTAAACTCCTTTCATTTCGAAGAGTACTACAACAATGATAAACCCAGTATAATCCAACAAGTGAGCTCTAGGAGGAAAATGTGTACGCAGACCTTACCCCTACCTTGTAAAGGTGGAGAGGTTTTCGATAGACTCTCGGCTCAAGGAACAGTAAAAAGGAAGCAATCAACAATAACAACAATAATAAGAAATAACAAAGGTACGACGTGTAATAACAAAGGTCTAGAAATAATAAATACAAGAATAGTACTAAACTACTGGTGAGAATGACACAACGTGTAATAGCAAAGATCTATGAACAAGAAACAATAAAAATATTACTAGTACTACTGATAAGACTAGGAGAAACTCTTGACTACCTATCAACCTTCAACCCTAACTCTCGACCTCCATACTTTCCTATCGAGGCATGTCCTCGGTAAGCTAAAACAATATCATGACCTGCCTAATTACCTCTCCCTGATATTTCTTTGGCCTACCTCTATCCTTTCAAATCCACTATGGTCAACCTCTTACACCTCCTAATTGGGGCATCTATGTCTCTCCTTATCATGTGCCCAAACCATCTCAACCTCGATTCCCGCAATTTGTCTTCCACAAGGGCCACTCACACTTAATCCCTAATAACGTCATTCCTAATCTTATTTTTCTGGTATGCCCATATATCCATCTCAACATCCTTATTTCTGCTACTTTCATCTTCTGGACATGGGATTTCTTGATTGGCAAACATTCAGCACCATACTACATAGTCGGTCCAACTACCACTCTGTAGAACTTGCCCTTAAGTCTTGGTAGCACATTCTTACCAAACAAAATACCATATGTGAGCTTCCATTTCATCTGCCCCACTCCAATACGATGTGTAGCATCTTTGTCAATCTCCTAGTTTCCTTGGATAACAGACCTAAGATATTTGAAACTATCTCTTTTGGAGATGACTTGTGTATCAAGCTTCACGTCCACTTCTACTTCATATGTCCCATCACTGAACTTGCATTCCAAGTATTCTGCTTATGTCTTACTCAACTGAAACCTTTAGAGTCTAGGGTCTGTCTCCAAACCTCTAGCCTAGCGTTAATCCCGCAATGCGTCTCACCAGTCAGCATTATGTGATCTGCAAATAACATACACTACGGCACCTCCTCTTGTATGTGTCGCGTTAGTACATCCATTGCCAGGCAAATAAAAATGGGCTAAGAGCTAATCTCTGATGTAAACCCATCATCACTGGAAAATATTTTGAGTCTCCTTCCACAATCCTCACCCGAGTTTTAGCACCATCGTACATATTCCTAATTACCCTAGTGTACTCTACTAGAATGCCGCTAACCTTCAAACACCTCCATATAACCTCCCTCGGGACTTTATCATAGGCATTTTCTAGGGCAATGAACACCATATGCAAGTCCTTCTTCCTCTCCCTACACTGCTCCACCAATCTCCTCACAAGATGAATGGCTTCTGTAGTCGACGCCACAACGTGAATCCTAATTGGTTCTTAGAAATAGACACACTTCTTCTCAGGCTCCTCCCCACCACCCTCTTCTAAACTTTCATAGTGTGACTCAGCAGCTTGACATCCTTTATAGACATCACCTTTATTCCTATACAACGGAACCATCAAACTCTACCCTCATTCATCGCGCATCTTCTTTGTCCTAAAATGACATTAAACTATCCAGTAAGCCACTCTAAGCCTGTCCGGCCCGCGTCCTTCCAAAATTTCACTGGAATCTCGTCTGACCAGTCGCTTATGCTCATCTTCCGCATCACCCCCTCAACCTTCTTAACCTTAATACGCCTACAAAACCCAAAATCTTGCTGGCTCTCTGAGTTCTCCAACTCACCAAGTACGATGTTCCTATCCCCATCCTCGTTCAAGAGTTAATGAAAGTATGTATGCCACCTACGACTAATACATGCCTCTTCCACCACTACCTTGCCTTCCTTATCTTTGATGCACCTTACTTGGTCCAGGCGCCGAGCCTTACTCTCTCTAACCTTGGCTAACATGTACAATCTCCTTTGCCTCCAAGTTCCTCATATAATCGTCCAAATGTCGCACTCTTAGCCGTAGTGACCGCTAACTTTACCTCTTTCTTAGCCTTCTTATAAAAACACCTAATTTGTCCTCTTCTCCCCCTCGACTGCGCTCTCCACTAGCTTTAAATTTGTTGCTTTCTTGGCTTTCACTTTTCCTTGAACCTCTTTATTCCACCATCAGTCCTCTTTGTGGCCACCCGAGTATCCATCCGTGATCCCTAACACCTCTCTAACAACTTTCCTAATGCAGTTTGTTGTCATGTGTCCACATGCTACTCGCGTTCCAACTACTCCTCCAGGTCCCCATAACCACCGGTTTCTCCCCCAACTCATGAGCTTTGTCCTTAGTCAAGGCTCCCCACTTGATATTAGGTTGACAGTATACTGCTCTCTTCTTTCTCACTCTTAATACCCAAGTCCATTACTAAGAGCCTATATTGTGTTGATAGATACTCACTCGGAATAACCTTGCAATCAGTGTATATGCCTCTATCACACTTTCTGCAGAGAAGGTAATCAATCTGAGTCTTGACCACCATACTCCGGAAAGTGACCAAGTGGGCCTCCCTCTTTTGAAAACACGTGTTAGCTATCACTAAACCAAAAGCTTTAGCGAACTCCAACAACAAAGTTCCTTCCTCGTTCCTACCCCCGAAACCGAATCCGTCATACACATCATCATAACCCCTAGCAATCTCCCCAATATGACCATTAAAATCACCTCCTATGAATAACTTCTCAATAAGCGAAACACTTCACACCACCTTATCCAAAATCACCCCTAGCACTAATCACGTTTAAAGTGAACCCACCAAACCACTAGCTTAATAGTCATCAGCCTATCGTTCACCCTCCTAACATCTACCACTAGCTCTTTGAGATCCCTATCAACTAAAATACCTACACCGATTTTGCCCGTAGCACCTCATGAATACCACATTTTAGACCCATTAACTTCCAGTGCCTTACTACCCACCCATCTAGTTATATTGATCTTCCTCTTCTGGAGATCTTTTGGAAGAGTATTGTCATGTATTCTTTATAAATCTACTTCTTTTTTTATACTGCGATATTGGTCTAACTGCTCTTTGTGTACTGTTTTGAAGCCAATGTGACATATGCTTCTACACTGTACTTTGAGACGTTGACATCAGAGGTCTGTCCAGTATTGCAGTTTCTTAAAAGAGAAAAAACTTCTTATCTTTTAAAATGTCCTATAAGAGAACGGGTTAAGCAGACTATACTTGTATATTAAAAGGGAAAAAGTGCGCATTTGAACTCCAAATCAAGATTGGATCCTTGTAGTCCAAATGAACAATAAAAATGAAACAGAAAACCACATATCAATATCAAGCTGGTGAGATCAAGTGTGTGTATGTGTGTGTGTATATATATATGTTTTCAATTTATACTCTACCCTTTGTTGTGATGATTTATATATGTACATTTGATTTTGACTTGTTTTATACTGTCAATGCACTGCAACTTTTATCAAACACCAACTGTTTACGGTAACGCGCCAAATAGCATAACACCAACTGTGATCTGGTTTCTAATTAAAGGCTTCTTCTGAGGGGCTCCAATAGTTTTGCAGTTTAGTTAAAAGTAGAAAAAACTAATTCTCGGACATATCATTAAAGCTGCCCTCAGTTGTAGCTCAGTTGACATGAAACTGAAGTGTTAACTATGTTCAGTGTATGCAGTTGTGATAGTCTCTGTTAGTGAATTCATAATAGTACATGACATTTGCTAAGATATATAATTAGATTTGAAATTTAGTTCACGTTTCTTACAGAGCTTTAGACAACCATAAGCTTTATTAGGTCTCAGATTCATCCCATTCTGCTTTTGCCGAGAGAGTTGGGATGGCTTCTCCAAGTATGATGTCTAGCTAGCTTCATATATATATAAGGTTGATGCAGTTGAGCTTGACAGTATTCCCCTTTCCTTTTCCTCAGAACATCGCCAATCACAAGCTAGTAACCTCCTTGAGTGGAACATACACAAGAGTGGATGGTAGTGCACTCTCTTGGTATGTATTCGTATATGGGGCACTATGCTCAACAGTTTCATATTTACGGGGCTTCACAGTAAACAGGAACCTGCCGCTAGAACTGGGGTTACAGTTGCATCTCTTGTTAGCTCCACTATTCTCTTAGTCCACCTAGACAAGTTTGATCAACAGAAAAATAAATTAGATTTGCAATGTTACTGACAAAATTCAAAATCCATCAAACTAAATGACTGATAGTTGGCATACTAAGAGGCTCTCTTTTTTTTTCTTTAACAACGGGCAAGGACGTAATGAACACCCAAAAAAATTCTGTATTTTCTTTGCTTGTCAAACACTGGCACAATGAGGATTTTTGCAAGTTTCAAGTCCCTTATGCTGGCAATTATCTTCAACCTAATGAATGAATTTCAGCCAATACAAATATAGTGTGAAAGCTCCCAAGGGACTTTCAGTAAGCTATCTTCTTCGTGACTTCTGTACAAAAAAGACGTCCGGAAAAACAACAGGAGAGGAAACGTCGGCAGAAAAGATTGCTGATGTCTTTCAACACAGGAGAAGGTGGGATTCCACCTCCCTCGCATCCCTACCCCTATCCTCCCAAAAAGAAAACCAAAAAGATGACTTTTCATTACCTTAGTTCTCTTCTTCTTCAAATAAAAAAAAAAAAGGGAACACTGGAATTAAAAGACTTAAAAGACAAAACACTCAAAGAGTTAAAGTATTTCTATCCCATCAGAACAATGGAATCACCAGTCGATAATTAACAATTAGAAGATAACATCAAGAACTAAAAAGTTACAAGTTCCACTAGATAATGCTGAAAATCAAACCATTGAACTAAGCTAGCGTTTGGCCATAGATCCCAAATTTGTTTTGACAAATCTGATTTGGGTGAAGTTTGGTTTGAAGATGAAAATGTGTTTGGACATACGTTTTCAAAACATATTTCCCAACTTTATTTTGGAAAAACATGTATATAATTCCCAAGTTTTGGGATTTTGGCCCAAAATCAGCAATTGGGGTGATTTTGGGATTTGGGGTTTGGGATTTTGCCAAAATGTGGGCAAATTTATGGCCAAACATGAGTTTTGAAAATAAATCCCAAATTTATTTTGGCAAAACTCATGGCCAAATTGTATCCAGAATCCAGCAATAGATTCATTAACAGAAAAATTCACCATTCAGCAATAAGCAACTTCTATTTTGTTTAGGTAGAGCTACTCGGTTTTCTTCATCAATTAAAAAATATCACCAAGTTTAATTTCCACTAGACAATTGTGAGACCATGTGAATTTTGAAACGAAAACTTGAAGCTCTAATATAGAAGCAGTTATGAATCTCGCGAGAGATGAATGATTATACTAAGAACAGATCCTACCATATCAGTGGGTTCAAGTCCCGCTGTTCCTTCGTAAAAGATCTATGAACAAACATAACGCAATCATCAAGTCACATTTGCAATGCAACCGAGAGATGTCCTGCCATCTAGAGACTGAGCAAATCCATATGTTTGCACCAAAAATTTACCTTGATCCATATGTTTTTACCACAGTTACATAGGCGTTAACAAATATTATACAGAAAGAGGTTATATGGTGCATGCTATTTGAAAATGATATTATGTTCACTGATGAAACTACGAGGGAGACAGTCATAAGTTGGAATTATGGAGAAATACTCCAGACAAACATGCAGAAGACAGATATATATAAAACAAGTTTAGCCCACATGAATAGAACGAAGGTAAAGTGACAATAGATGAGATTGTGGTACCTAGATGTTGATAATTAAGATATTGAGGCTCAATCTTCTAAGAGAATGATATGATACATAAAGATGTAACACAAAAAAATTAAGAAAGATGGCTGAAAAGGAAGAGTGTTATAACTAACAAAGTGAAGAAAAGTTCTACACAGATTATGCAACCACCAATGTCAATATCCACATGATGAATGACATGGAAATGTAGATTGTTAAGCTGGATCTGCAGTCATGTCAGATTGGAAAAGACTAGAAACGACAAAATATGGTATACGGCACATGTAGCACAAAAATCAAAGAAGATCGACCGAAATGGGCTTGGCCATCTCCTGAATAGACCTCTAAATATCCTAGTATGTAAGTGCAACAATAAGGCAATTGAAGGTTATAAGAAGGTATAATTTTTTATTTTTTATTTTATAAGGGAAGGTTATAAGAAGGTATAATGACAGGCTGAAACCATTTGGAGGAAAGTTGTCTTAAAATACGTATAATCTCTTGAAATCATTTCAAGCTTAGGTAAAAAAACAGAAAATAATGCAAGTAAATGATCCATTTAAGTGAAACTAAAGTAGTTGCTACACCTTTGTTGTGGTTGTTGCTTTTGTTGTAGTAGTTGTTGTTGTTGATATAGCTTACATTAGACTCAGTATGACTTATACGTCTGTGTAGGGATACATGTGAGATTGAGATAATGTCTACCTTAAAGAACCCCCTAATTTGCTTAACAGACAAATTATTTAGTATTGGAATTACAATAATGACCTGAAGAAAGTAGAATTGGTATAGAAAATTTGTACAATCTCAACTAATATGCAATAAAGGCATTGATTGATTGAAGGATGTCCACTGTGAAATGAGGACAACAAGAAGTAGGCATCAATTTACACTTAGGCCTACTCTTGCTCACTCAGAGAATTCTCCAAGCTCGCCGATGCCGTTCAGCAACTTCCACCCCCCTTGTTCTCTTTCACCTTCTTCAAGGCTGGTCCCTTTACCCAACCCCTGGCCATCGTCGCCCTCTACCTTCCTTACCTAGAATCCCTCTACACTTTCTGATCTCCTTCTTTGCTCCTCTAAGGTTCCTGCCTTCACTCATTCCTTTTTTTTTTTTTTTTTGCTGCGGGAACTTATAACTTTTGGTATTGCAAGATTCATATATGGCAAAGTTAATAAGTCAGATATCTTAGACAAACTTAGTATCTCCATGGAAATGTTAACACTTCTTATAAGCAGCCCAGAATTGAAATAGTGATATCAACATAGGCCTCTTATAAATAATCATAAAGGAAGCTTTGCATACTATTGTAACTCGCGAGCATGCGAAATTTCATTATACATCAGGTAAATGTTTCATTCTAGCTGAGATGGGCTTGCCCCTTTATACACTCTACGGTTGCACATGTACAAATGATGCTATCATTGAAGAACTTCTAGTATCTATTTGTCACAATCATTTCCTACACCTTCATCTATTTTCTGGGCTGAACAATGATGCCCGTAGAAATAAATGAGAATGAACACGTGTATTTTGCAGATGCAGAAACCATTAGCAAATCATAATCTTCGGGATCCTATTAAGTCTTCAAAAAAGCAGCAGATAAAATGCAAGATAGAGCAACCAAGAGTTAAACCAATGCAATGGTATTTTAATTGTTCTAACAAAAGAGCATCTTATACCAAACACATCAACTGTTTATTATCAACATCAAAACTTTTATCCGAACAAATAACAACCTATTTATATAATCAGCTTCGACACTTAAAAGTACTTTTCAGCACTTAATGTTTATAAGCTAAACCTACACGGGAAAAAAGAACTAGGAGTAATTAACTTCCAGAATATCCCAAAAGACTCACCTGAGAAAAACTACTATGCAAGATAGAAGATGTCATCAGTCATGAGAAGAATGTAGTGCAAAATCCTCAAAGGTGCATTCTTGAAGTCCAATTGGGGCAACCTCAATTCTCTAACTCTACAATTCCCATTTTCCTTTTCACATGACCATCTAAAATGAACTCTGTTCAAATCCAGCTTCCTATATAGATACACAACTGAATCCTTACTGCTCTTGTTAGTCTTAAATAGTGTCCAACCAACTCCAAGCAAAGTCTTTGTAAACCCATCCATAGAATCAATCCTAACCCCAGTTTTCCTCGAAATTAAGGAAAGGGTCGTAACATCCCAATTATTGTTACTCGAATAAAAACTGATTTCGTCAAATGGGTTGTGATTAGATTTCAAAAAAACCAACTTGAAGAAACCCTTTGAGAGATTAGCAAAGAGGCGCAAGTGGGAGAGAGAAGCAGTGGCTAAAGATGGAAAAGGGAGTGGAGCGGCGTCGTTTGATAATAAAAGGGATGAAGAAGAAGAAGATGAAGTTGTAGAGTGTGATACTACTGGCCATGAGAAGATGATGTGAGAAAGAGATGGGTTTGGGAAAAGATCCATACCTATGTCTCTAGCTAATGTGGCAAGTCTAAATGAATCTTTTACTAATTCCTTTGTTGGAACGAAAAGCATAAAAGGGATCTTGCCTGTAGTGCTAGACATGTTGGTTATGGCTATGTTTTCATGGTCAGTTCGATCACAATTCTGATGAAAGGGTAAAGTAGCAAAGCGGGTAGGATTGGCAATGGCATCTCCGGAAACCAATGAACGTACTAGTAGCTTTAATGGAAGCATTCCCCTCTCTCTCTCTCTGTCATTCGGAGAAGAGAAATTCCTTAAAGTAGATGGGGTCGACACCTTGTTTCCTTTTTCGCCAATTCTAGCACCCATATCAATATCTAACTATATATTTACTATTAAGAAGAAGGTAGTCAAACTTAAGATTATATCAAATGGTATATTGAAAAAAAGTTACCGCCTCTGTTCCAGTTTACCTCAACTAATTTCTTTTTTGGTCCGTTCCAAAAAGAATAAATCCTTTCTAAATTTGGTAACAATTTAGCTTAAAGTTACAATTCTACCCTTAATGAGAAGCTTTTATAACCACACAAATACTCTGTGCCCCTTTTTGACTTGTTTAGGACCACAAATTCCAAAAGTTTTTATTTTTTCTTAAACTCCGTGCCCAGTCAAACAAGTTCACATAAATTGGAACGGAGGGAGTACTTGATAATTTTGATATAAAATCTAAAAAGATTTTGCACAAACGTAATAAGAACTAAGACAAAAATTTAATATAGTTTAGTGTATTGGTCTGAATTTGGTGACCTGGTAACGACGCATAAACGAGATCGAAGACGAGGATGACCACAGCGCAATAGTGGGAGGTCGTGCTCAGAAAGGTTATTGTCAGGGACTAATAGCTGGAATAAAGAGATAACAGCAAGATAGATTAGAAATAGGCATAAGGAATATTCCTTTGGATATTCTTTATTTCGTACTTTTTAGGGTTTCTTGGAAATACCCCTTATAAATAGGAAGAGAGAAAGAACAAAAGGGGATATCTTTACTTTCTGAGAAAAATGCATTGTGAGAGAATATACAAAAGTTGTCTTGTTCATTGATTATCTTATTCAAGCACACGCTATTTGATCTTTGTTCACAAGATCCAAAGATTCCATAACCATCTTCACTTCTCTTCTTTCCACGTTGCTGTCAGGAGAAAGAACCATTCAAATCATATAATAATTGGGTGGTAGATTCTTATTACATTTATTGTCATTATCTACATTTATTGCATGTTTATGTTATCATATTTATTAGCATTCATTGAATACAAACGTGCTATTTAATGCTGTCAGACGTCGTTCATCTGACCGATTTCCTACAATTTATGATCTAAAATTCATTATTTGTAACTAAGATTCATCCTTCATTTCATCATTAATTAGTTTAACAAAAAGGTTTAACACTTTTTGGTCAAACATTTAGTAATAGTACCTGCGTATTGCATGAATAATATTGAAGAATATTAATTATGAGAAATTTTAGTGTATTGCTAAAAAATATATTAGATAATAATATTTTAACAAAATTTCAATAGTCATCCTGTTTCTTAACATAATGTACCTTATAACAAAACCTTTAAAATTAAAGAAAATAATCATATAATAACTTGATTGGACGCATAATCTTTTTAATCATAGGTTGTTAGTTATACATATAGAAAAACTCAAATGTACATGTCTAATTTGAATATCTTGAAATTTGGGAGCTCATATGAACTGCATAACCATTATGACAAGCTTATGTTAGATCAATTCAAAGTGTGGACATGATTTGTTCTACAAATTTGCCCAACAAAAGCAACTGAAGTATTGTTACTCCTACACAAAAATAAGTAGTAACTATCATGAGAAAAGTAATCATCTTGAAATTTATATATTGATTTTAATCATGATCGCAAACTTAAATCTTGTTGCTGCAAATTTATGAAAACATTAGTCTTATTATCTTGCTTGTGTGATTGTACTTTTCTGTGACTAATAATCTCTCCAGTGACATCAATTATATTTTTGAAAGGAGTAATCATGATCAAGTTGATAAAATAAATTAAACTAAATAAAAAGTTGATGTGTTGGACTCGTATCACATTAATATGTTTTTTTGTATCCATAAAGTTGTACGTTTTTAATGTTATTAATTGAATATTTGTTTGTAGGGAGACGTATTCAACGCAATAGTGGAAAAAGTCTTATCCATTATACATTTAAAACAAAAATAAATGGACTGAAATTGTATATTATGAAGAATTTTAGTGATAGATCAAATAACGTGAGACATAAGACCAATAAGCACAAATTAAAGCTGGCGTGTACTAATAGAACGAGTGTGAAGAAAACGAATGATTCAAATTTCAGTACGAGTATCTTCAATATTCGAGAATGACATATTTGGTAATTATCCAAGCCGCTTTTTAGTTTAATTATTTTTTTTGATCAAGTTGATCATGGTTACTTCTTTAAAATGTAATAGATATCATAGGGGAGATTGCTAGTCATTGAGAAATGAAATTATACAAGAACAATATTAAGATTAGTGTTTTCATGAATTTGGAGCTCCGAGATCAAGAGTAAACTCGCGATCATGATTAGAATTTATATACAGACTTAAAGATGATTATTTTTCTCATAATTAAGTTGCAAGTTATTTTTATGTAGGAGGAACAATATTTCAGCTACTTTTTTGGGCGAATTTGTAGAACAAATCATGCCACACTTGGATGGATCTAACAATAAGCCTGTCATATTTGTTATGCAGCTCATAAGAGCTCATAAATTTCAAAGTATTCAAATTATGTATGTACATTTGGATTTTCTTACGTGTTTAATTAACAACTTATGATCGCAAAAACATGCATCCAATCAAATTATTTAGTGCCTATATGATTTATTCTTTTTAATTACATAAAGATTTTGTTATAAGGTACATTATCTTGGATTTATCCACGAGAAAATCTCACTTTATACCCATTAATTCCAAACTATTTATCCTTTAATGCCCAAACTCAATCTATTTACTACTCCTACCCATACTCCCCAAACTATTTACCCGCTAGTTTCACTTCCTATATATCTGCAAACCCCCAAATGGACGAGGTGATGGAGGAAGTAGAAAAAGTGAAAAAAGATTTTGAAGAAACATACAAACAGACACAACAACACATCAATTCCATTCAGGAATATGGCAAATCGATAAGATTAATTTCAGAAGAGAAAAGTTCACTCCTAAGATTGAATATCCATCATTGTTGGGCTTGAAGCTCAATTTTATTTTTGAAGATTTCTTGTTTGATTCAAAGTGAGTGTTGTTAAATATTGCTTATAGTACCTTCTGGAAGTTCATACTGAAATTTGATAGCATTTGGACCTGATTTGAGGTGATTGAGATCGAAATTTTCAGTTGAAAGTCGAAGAACACAGTTACAGTATACCGCTACGGTATACAATATGCAGTAGGAGTATATAGCTATACTGCAACAGTACACTATTATAGTTTACAAAACAGTATACCGCTACAGTATACTAATATACTATAGGAGTATATAGTTATACTGCAACAGTATACTATTATAGTATACAATATATTGTTATGGTATACTGTAATAATATGCAAGATACTGTAACAATATGTTGTAATAGTATACAATATACTATAATAGTATACTTATTACTCGTAAATTCACTTGCCTTTTCCCTTTTAATTTGTTTTAAGCTTTTACCCAGCGTGAGGGGCAAATTGAAAATGCCAAAAAAAAAAAAAAAATTATAGTATGCTATATGATGTAACGGTATACTCTTACAATTAGATCCTTTTAGAATTTTTTAATTTTTTTATTGACAACTGATATTATTTTAGTTTAATAATTGAATTATAGTATGCTATATGATGTAACGGTATACTCTGAAAAAATCACTTATTTTGGACCACAAGAAAAAGGCCAAAAAATCACTTATTTTGGACCGGAGGGAGTAGTGGTTTCTGAAAATTTCTCTATTAAATTTGCTGAGGAGCTTAGAGTTTTTACATATTGCTTAATCTGCGAATTTTTCAATAAATCCACAGATTACTCTAAAGAAGAATTTGTTGGAGTCGTGCCACAATTTTTTCGCCAAGAAGCATCGAAGCCAAAATAACATATAGGAGTATTAGTATTTTATAGTGTCCGTCAACCCCACTGCTTTGACTAGATGTGAACAAATGTTATTTACTACAACCACTAATCCCTTAGTAAATCAAAGAAAGACAAAGAAAATGAGTAAAGGAGGTTGTCCAGCTCTCTTCTCATTGTAATTTTGCTGCAAGTTCGTGATTTTGCAAAGAAATTAATAAGAAAATCAACATTGTTCGAGAAAAGATAAGAAAATGCATTTAAAAAAAATACTAATTTCACCTTTATACATTCTTGTACACGATTATACAAAATTAATGAGATTTTTGAGTAAAGTGCTGTGAAGCCTAGATATAGCAGTCATGATTGCAAAAGCTGGAAGCACTCGCGTTGCAAGAACTCGCCTTCATATCCGACTTTTAAAAGGGTTATTGGGCTAAGGGATGAAATTAAGGGTGAAATTCAAAAATAGCCAGATTTACAAGTGATAATTGAAAATTAACCACAATTCCAAAAGTAATCGAAATTTAGCCACTTATCATGTAAAGATAAATCTAGATAAATATGGACGAAAATACTGTTCAAAACCCGGGAAATATTCCAGCATAAAATACTGGAGTTCCAGTATAATATACTGGTCCAGCATAATATACTGAAAGTCCAAACACAGGTGCTCCAATCTCCAGTATATTATGCTGGGACTTTCCGTGTGTTAGAGTTACAGCATAATATGCTGAAAGTTCATCTCCAATATATTATACCGGAGCTTTCCGTGTTGCAGCAAAGTAGTGGCTATTTTTAAATGACCAGTCCGAAAACTGGCTAGCCCGTGCTATTTTTACAAAATAATTTTTCAACTTATATGCAAAGTGGGTCAAACCAGGTACTAAGAAGGTCAAGTCGAAAAAAAAAGGTACCAAGAAGGTAAAATGTGAACCCACCCAATTGTAAAAATAGCACGGTATAGCCAGTTTTCGGACTGGTCAATCAAAAATAGCCAGCGTTTACCAAGTCAATGAAAAATAGCCACTATTTTGTCGCAATAGAGACAGGCCCAGCATAATATACTGGAGTTCGGTGCACTTATGTATGAACTCCAGCATATTATGCTGGACCGGTATACTTTGCTGGCTCCAGTATAATATACCGGAGACTGGAGCACCGGTGCTCCACACTCCAGTATATTATACTGGACCAATATACTTGATGGAGTATTATGCTGGAGTTCAAGTAT